AACACAAGAGGATAGATGTTCTATTTTCTAGTTTTCATCAACCATTGACATAGATTGGAAATACTTTCTAGTGTTCTAAAATCATGAAATTGATGCACCTGTTCAAAATATTCTAAGTCAACCAAAGAGCAAAAAATTCAGTAAACTTATAGGTATACGAAATAATCATAATACTAGGATGCAGAACGACTAAATCTGAATATTTTCGAGAAATGTCTTAGATTTGGTTGAGTTAGAAATTGCCATAAACCTTTTAGAAATATGCATGGAAGAGATTTATGAAATATATTATAGTTGTCAACAACACAATAACCTTTACAATTGCTCATATTATATGACAATCTGGATCTAAAGCTACGCACTAGAAGTGCCGTGACTATATATATATATATATATATATATATATATATATATATATATATGTTAGAGAAAAATGGCTTTGTAATCTGTAATACAATAGAGATACAACAAGAATACAGAATACAACAGGGAACAAAAACTGGATCATTTGATATCTTCAGGCGTGTAATCACTTTCCTATAAGCTTTAAATCTCCCTCTATAAAAGCAACAAGGTTCAAGATTTAATCTTATGGGATACAAGAAGATGAATGAAATTCTCAAGTTGCTTTGTTTGAGAATTTCCTGTAGAGATGTAAGTCTGTGAAGTATCTTGGTGTCTTGCAAGTTGATTGCCTCCATCAATTGCCTGTTGTCTTTTTTCTCTCTATTCTTCAGATGTTTCCCCAGATATTTATATAAAATAAATATAGCAGTTAGGAGAAGTTACATGGAAGTTATAGGAGTTCAAAACTCTACTTCCATAAGATATATCTTATCTGATATATCAAGCATGGGAAATATATAATTGAATATTATAAATATTCATATCATATGGACCTTCATAGGTTCATGCACTGCATACAAAATAACAAAGTAAAATATATATTATATATATATTTATTATTCAATGCATGTAGAAACCATGCAATGCTACATAATAAATAAATAATATATATTTATACTTTACATGCATGCAGACATATTAAACCCAAATTGAGGAAGGAAGCCATATAGCCGAAACTTAGATTCATGAACATACATTGCATGCAGACATAAATCAAAAGAAAGGCTTTTGAAATAAGCTTACGTGAAATTCACTTGGCCGAAAGATGCAAACCATACCATGCAAAGTTTCGTGAACCTCAATGATAAGGACGAAACCATTTCATTTCAACCAACAAAACCATTTCATTTTAACCAACGAAATCAACAATAGGGCCATCAACTTTCGTTAAGCAATGCAATTATCAAACCCGAATCAATACGAGAACTTTCGGTCTCAACCAAACAAAAACATATTTCCCATTTTACTTTCTACCAAACTAAAATAATATTTATAACTCCACAACACCAAATATTATTTAAGCTTTTCATGGTAGTCCATCTGAAATATTAATCTCCATTACTATATAAATCTCCAACAATATATATATATATATATATATATATATATATATATATATATATATATATATATATATATATATATATAAAGGAGCAATTGAGACATAGCTCAACTAGCTAAAATAAATGTATTTTCTTTATAATACTACACCATTGAATGTTAACCGTATAGGTTACAAATAAGTGTTTGTGTGAAAGAGATATAAAAATAATTAGATGGTATGATATAAAGTGAGTTTTGTAGCCCAAGGGTTCACACAAAGACATAGAATTGATTTTAATCAAATACGCTATTCCGTAGTAGATGGCATTAAGTTTCGCCACGTAATATCATTAGCAGTAAATACCAAATTTAGATATGCAGCTACTACTTATTTGAAAAGTTTCTGATGGATTTAAAGTTCTCGAAATGATAAGAGATGAAAATCGCAGCATGTATATAATTGTATTACAAAGGTCTTTATATGACTTGAAATAGTTAATAATTGACTGAGTGTTTTTCCTCATAAATAAGGAAGGAATATGCAAATAATATGTGTCATAAAAGAATTGCTGATGGTGTTATTTATTTGTTTATTTATTATCTCGGTCGGGGTTGGTGGTATAAACATGATTGAAATACATAAAGATCTTGATGATATTAGCTCATGCATAAAGACGTGAAATGAAAGACTTGGGAAACCTAAGTATTATCTCGACCCGCAGATTGAGTATTTGCTAGAAGAAATTTTACACACCAGGTAGCCTATATTGAAAAACGTCTTGATAAGGAACCTTTTAGACTTAAAGAGGATAATGATGAGCAAATCTTTGGACCAAAAGTCCATTACTTCATTGTCATTGAAGCACCAATTTAGGACAAGAAGTTCTATTATTGGTACAGGCCTAACATTGTATTTGTAATGAATTTGCTAGTAACATTTAGTTTTTCTCCTACAATAAAATATTGGAATAGTGTTAACATATCCTCTGTATCTTCAAGGAATAAAGATTTTGACATTTATGTGAGAAACCAATATATGGTTTTGATGGGCTACTTGGGTATTGGCTACTTTGTTTGATCCCTATTATGGCAAGTCCCAAATTGGTTATGCTAAGTTTTTGCCCCCAATGTCCTATATGAGGACAATAAAGCTTGTGTTGCACAAATGATAAATTTTAGTATGTTTCGGAATATTTGACGAAACATATCAAAATTCAACCCACGTGAGCTCTAGAAGAGTCATAAGATTATTATACAGAATGTTCACTCTAGTGACAATCTTGAATATTGTTATCTACACTTATCGTGGAACAATATTATTATTATATTAGAATGTGTAGGTTTTGAAGATTGTTATCTTCAAGGGGAGTAAGATTTACTTGAATCAATAACGAAGATTGGGTCTTGAAGACCAACAGTTGTACGCTTTTTCCTTTGATTGAGTTTTGATATAATTTTATTAATTAAAGGTTTATTTAAAGAGGCAGCTAGTGTAACACATGAATAGACACATATCAAGTACTCTTTTTTCTCACAAAGTTTTTTCCACTGGATTTTTTAGTGAATTTTTAACAAGGTATGAGTATGATATAATAATGTCCGGGGGGGGGGGGGGGTTAAATACATCTATGTGGACATTAGTAGAGAAATTATATTATGATAATATCTCTTCATCTTTTATAGACTTGTAATATACTGAAACTCTATGTATCATGTATATATTGGATTCAATGATGAATAATAAAAGATTGATGATTCTCTCTGTATTTCTTGTCTTTCTTTAGTTTACTGAATTCCTATTATTTTCCGGTAAACGAGATGATACAACTGTTCACGCAAAGATCCGTCCAGTTTCATAACAATAATAAATATTATTATAGTTAAAAGACTAAATAAATGAAGAATCAACTCTTTCTAGTGAATTTATATTCGAGGAATGCAATATATATATATATATATATATATATATATATATTGCCCTGAGCGAGCGCGAATTATGTAAAAGCCCGAGAGAAGTTGCTTTAAAAGGGCTAGATTTAGATATTTTTGGAGGATGAGATCATTTTCTAGTGCTTAGACTTCATTTTATATCTCTCTAGCCTCTCAAGAACACACTTGTATTGAAAACATTCTAGGGTGAAGGAATCTTGATAACATTCCTTGATTAAGCAATTGTAGATTGAATCTTCTTTTGAATTCAAGTTTGGTAATCATCTCTCTTTCTAATCTCAAATTCTAGCTTTGCTTTGATTCAATGATTCAATTGGCTACAATGAGTGGCTAGGTTTTTGTTAAGGGTTGAATTGTGAATCCATTGCATGATGCTAGTGTGGAATTGAATGCTTGATTTAGATTTTTGAATTGCAATTGTTGATTGATTTCTTGTTAGAAGTGGATGTATGTATTTAATCTAGTGAGATAGGGCCCAACTTGTTTGCTAGGTTGATTTCTTGTGAGTTATTTAATTTGACCTAGGCAAGAGATTGCTAGGTTGATTTTAGCCTCCGTCCCACTTGTTTTTTACGCCTTAAGTTCCGAGAGGACAAAGTCTAGAACGAGGTGAAGATAAGGTGAATGATGAATTGTCTCATAAGAATAGGTTGTCACTAGGGTGCTTCCTAGACTTATGATAGGCCGTTAAGACCGAAAGGCAACGACACTAATAAAGTGTTGCTTGGAGTTCTTCAATTGCAATCTCTCAATCTTACCTTAAACACTAGAAGCATAATGCAATGGATGAACAATTCTATTCTCGTCTTTTACATTTGAATTCATTCCTTGTATCGTATTCTAGTATCCTTGATCTTGAACATATGTACAACATGATTTTTGTGAATCTTGTATGTGACAAGCTTAGATACCACTCTCTACCTCAACACCTCTCAACACTTCCAAGTTGTCATCCTTAGAGAACGACATTCAGGGGATCTTTGTTCCTTTCCTACTCATCCACTCTTATCTCATCCCACACGCATACAAAAACCATAAAAAATCAAAGTTTGAATGAATAAAAGACGCGAATTTGTATCAAACATGTGTGTTTATCCAAAATCACACATATTTTGACTTCTTGATCGATGCAAGTATATTTAGGTTGAATCAATGCATGTTAATTGGGTCGTGCATATTTAGTTTTATTTTTATTTTATTTTTTTAGTACTATTGACTCTATTACAATGTAGTATTCATCCATACATACTTTCTCAACCTATTGAAACACAAAAGTCAATACCCCCACTAGAGTTCGAACCTGACCTTCCATTTGGGATAGCCAAAGGGGTGCATATTTATTAGGAGATCAAGAAGATCAAAGGCATCACACTATGACACTTGGCAGCATCTAGGCAGCATTCAACAGTCCATTTTCTGTTATGTTAGTTAGGATTCTTTTATTTGTTTTTCCCTCCTTAGTCTTGTGTATAAGAATAACTGTTCATCTTCTCTGTATTTGGTTGGTTAATACAACTCTTCTTTCCTTTCAATCGCTTCTCTTCACTTTGTAAAATGGTATCAGAGCCCTCAGGATAGGTGCTCATTCTGTTAGTTTCAAGATGACGAGCTGGCCTACAGTCAACATCAATTCCATTCCAACGAACAACACAGCAGGTACCTCAGCAACGAATCCAGCAAGCAAAAGAGTCGGAAATACAGCTCTGGCGGGTGGATCTAATCTGCAGGAGGTAAATTACGATCCTCAATCACAATCTAATCCGTATTACCTACACATTAACGAGAATCCAGCATTGGAACTTGTTTCCTTCCCTTTGGATGGATCGAATTATCACGCCTGGGCTAGGGCCATGACCATGGCATTATCCTGCAAAAACAAAGTGGCTTTCATTAATGGGGTGATCAAGAAACCTTCCCAAGATGACCTAGAAAGATACTACATCTGGGAAAGATGCAATAATATAGTATGTGCATGGATTGTTTGTACTCTTTCCCCCACAATTGGCTGAAGTGTCTTATGGATTGATGCGGTCTATGGGATTTGAAATGATTTGAAGAGACGATTCAGTCAACAAGATCTGTTTAGGGTTGCGGAGATTATGTGTGAGATATACCAAAAAAAGCAGGGGGATGAATCCTTGAATGAATACTTTACAAAACAAAAGCTGCTATGGGATGAGTTGATCATACTCAAGCCTCCAAAGATCTGCACCTGCAACAAGTGTGATTGTGGTAAGAAATTGGATGAGATAGTTGAGCAAGGAGAGAAGGACAAACTGTCCATCTTTCTAATGGACTACATGAGAGATACACTGCTGCTAGGGATCAGATCATGTTAATGAGGCCTCTGCCTGAGGTCAATGAAACCTATTCCATAGTGGCTAAACAAGAGACACAATTTCAAATGGTTTCTGTTGGTTTTGGGAGCCAATTGCACCAAGGAGGTGAAGGCAACAGTCTTACAGGCAATGCAGGCAGTGTTTTCTTGTCCAGAACTGAGGGAGGATTCCAGCAAGGATTCAAGAAAACACAAGTCTCAAACAAGAAACCTGTATGCATTTATTGTGGGTATACTGGCCACACACAAGATAAATGTTACAAAAAGCATTGTTATCCCCCCGCTTAGAAGCCAAGATCAATAACCCAGGGTTCAGTAAACCAGGTCTAGGGAGCAGCCGTTGTTCAACAGTCCAATGCTGATGAGGAACCATCTTTCAATCAAAATGACTTTAAGAGATTTATGGAGTTCATGCAGATGCAGAGGTCTCTCAACAATACACCTCTTGATCAACCTCCACAAGCTTCAATCAATACCGTGGCAATGGAACTTCAAAGTGAAGGTATGGCTTCACTTAACTCTGTCAAATGCGGAAGGTATGGCCTCTCTTAACTCTGTCAAATGCAATAAGAATGCATGGATAATGGATAGTGGTGCCACTCACCACATTGTGTGTGACATAGATTTACTGAGCAGTCAACAAAAAGGTTCAAAATCTGCATGTATGTATGCCAAATGGTCAGAAAGCTGCTATCACCCTCACTGGAACAGCATGTGTAACACCCCGTGTTACGACCTCTAACCCAAACTAATTATTTAATTACTTATGTAACACCCCGAAATTTTGAAACTTTTAAAACTTAAATAATAAAGATATATTCTCATTAAATCCTGAAATAGAGTATTATTAAACATAAGGGTAAGGGGTGCTATGCCACATCTGAGCTGGAGAACTCAGATGCACAGGCTAAACTAACTAATTATCCTCGATACATCATTGGGGCACGCAGACCAAAAAGGAAAACTATCTATCTAATCCAAGTTCTTCTAGCGCGCTCTGGAAACTAATCAGCTGTGCCTGAAAGCCAAATATATCTGTTCAGCGAATGATGCCGGTAACCCACTCCAACGCGTTGAAATACATTATAGATAGATATATATGGATATACGAAAATCATTTTGAAGCAGGAAGATATATACTTAAGAGACACTAGTTTTAAAAACCAGGAATAGACTCAGCAAATAGGGTCAGGCACATCAAACAATAATAAACAGTTAAGTAGAGATAACATCCTAAGGAATAGACATCTAAGGTCACAGATCACTTTTCAATTCCAAAACAAATCATCCTTCAATCACCATTCATATCACATAATTGTTGATGGCGGAACGGGACCAATCGCATGCCCCAAACATGAGGGTTAATGCTTATAGCATTAACACGGCCCTGCAGCACCCTACCTCAGTACCGCGGTACGAGGGGAGATGATCGCAACCAACCCTTTGAGCACCGCTGACGAACTCAACGTCGGACCACGATCCTACACACTGCTGACGCACCCAGTCGGTGGACCGCGATCCCCTTTTCAAGGGGGACTTACGACCCTACACACCGCCGATGGGTACGCCGGTGGACCATAGCGGATCAAGCCCGACACACCGCGGAGCTATACTCAGTCGGTGGGCGAAGATCCTCGGAGACTATGGCCCTACACACCGTCGTCCCATCACTCGGTGGGTCGCAGCCAGCCGTAGCACTACACACCGCCCCGATTACTCGGATTGGTGGACTACAGCCTTCCTCGGCTTATTGGCCCTACACACCGTCCTGGCAAGTTCAGGTCCGGTGGGTCATAGCACCGAGGCCCATGTGGACCGCAGCCCAAGAAGTGAATCACTAACCGCAGCCAGGAGAATGAACCGCAGCCCATAAGTAGCCCTATATAATATTTATATACCTGACCGATCGCAACCAGCCTGGTTAACAGTTGGTATGGTTCTCAACCCATCCAGCTGTCCGTATAGCCAATTTGATCGCAACCAAATTGGGGAATCATGCATCACATAACACATTACCGCACATAATAGCACATTAGGAAGGAGAGACATATAATTAAACTTACGTGTGATCATTCACATACTAAGAATCGTCCTAAGGGGTTCATACGACTTCCACCTAGGTCAACGGGCTACCAATTCAACTAGCATGCAATTCCTAAGATTCCCGTATCCTACGAAGGGTGCCCGAAACATCAAACTAGACTCAGGCACGACAAACGGGGTCAGTTGGGACGCCACGGGGAATGGGGGACATCAAACGGGGAAGCCGGGGACCCGGGGTGGATCACGAACCAGCGGGTAGCCGGTGGGTGAGGGATCACCCGCCGGAGATCACTGCCCGGCAGCGGGTTGCCGGCGGGCGGACGCCTGCCCGGCGCTTGCCCGCTGCCCGGCGGTGATCTTCGGGCAGCGGGTAGGTGGCGGGCACCCCTACCCCCACCTATCCCCCACTGACTCATTCATCAATATTTCGTCCCGGGATCCTTTGTGGAACCCGAAACCATGCTTAGACACTTTTAAACGCAATTAACGACACCACGTAGTTAATTAACGGATCCAAAGCAAGAATCACATATAACTCATCCTATCACGACTCTAAATATAAACAACACCCGAACATGTGAATTCCCACCCAAATATAAATCAAGAACATTACAACACAAATTCCCAATTCAACCTAGGGCTCTAATCCCTCCTAATTCATCAAAATCCCAATTTATCTTTAACATCAAGAAATATCCAGATTTGTCAAGAATCATTACATCAACATCAAGAACCTCTTTTCATCATCAAGATCATCAAGATTATCAAGAATACACACAATTCGTCCTATCAATCATCAAGAATATGTCGCAATAAACATAGAGACACACGCATATAGAAGGAGGCCAAGGAAGGAGATTATAGCGAAGAAAATAGGTTTTGTTGTGACATGGGTTACCTCTTAGCCTTAATTAATCATCCCTAAGATTTCCATCCATTTTGATCTCCCTAGGCTTGGTGGTGGGGAGTCCCTTGGGAATTCTTGTGTGGTGATATCTATTGTGGTGTGACTTCTAGGTGCCTCCTATGTCCTTATATATATATATTTAGGAGTCCTAATTAGGGTCTGAATGGTATGGGTTTACTAATTCTATTCCTTATAGGACTAAGGACTTGTTTTAGGGATAAGGGTCCATGGTGGACCATATTAATTAATTCATGAGAGTCCTAACCATAATCTAAATAGTAAAGGTATACTTTCTTTATTTCTAATTGGCTTATGACTCTAGTTTAGACAAGGGTCCACGATCCGTGGTGGACCATATTAATTAATTAAAAGGATTTCTAAATTAAATCCTTTTTAATTATTATTAAGGGAATTAATTAAATAATTAATTCGGGATTAAAGCCCGTAACACGGGGTGTTACACACTCCCCCCCTTACAAGAAGCTTCGTCCCTGAAGCTTAGAAATCATTTTGGGGTAAAGAGCCCGAATTAGTATAGTAGTTTATAAGGAGAGTATCATATGGGAAATATATACACATACGCATATAAATTTACTGGGTTTAAACCTAACTATTGTGCTTGCAAAGTGCACCAAATAACAAGATTACGAATATGCAACACACAATATGTAAGTTTTACGGGTGACTAATACATAACATAGAAGTCCTTACACATGGCATGTTCTTTATTTAATTATTTTATAATGATTTAACATATAGGATCACAAGTTGTACCGAACATATAATTATTCATGTACTTAAATGAGAGGCAAATGCCACAGGGGTGCATCCTCATATAGTCGCAAATGCCACAGGGGTGCATCCTCAGATAGTCACATAGTTATTATAAAGTATATATGCACACGTATCAACACAGGCGAACTTCATTTACGAATGGATGCAGACGTTTAATTATGTAGTGTAGCATGTTGTGAGCCTAGATGCCATATGGTAGGGAATATCCCGACCGACATAGCTTCACCACGATCGAGAAGCCTTTGTCCTTTTCTCTTTGTCTTTGCAGGTAACAGGTCGGGCTCCTTGAGAAGAACCCGGTCGGTGGCCGACCGGGAGTTGCCCGAGCGACGGTGTCGACTGCCGAGCGATAGCCCTTTGGCGAGAGAGCTGACGTAAGACACGTAGCGATTCTCTACGACGACAGACAGGGCACCCGGGAGGGCGACACGTGGTGGCTACGTGGAGGACATGCCGAACGGCTGGAATCCTGTCCCCGGCATAGCGGCTATAAATACCCACAGTAGCTACAGTGTAAGGGACTTTTGGACGATCGATAGGTTGTTGCTAGAGAATCCCGACCGCAGTCAGTCGGTACTCAGAGCAACCAAGTAGATTGTACTTAGGGCCTTTACCGTGATCAATAAAGATATTTACTTGCTTTAATTGGTCTTGTGTTGTTATATATTGCTCACGTATAATTAGCAGTATCGTTTTGGCGCCGTCCGTGGGGAACCGTGCAAGAAACCAACGTCTTGACGAGCACCCGATCACTATATCGACATGTATCCGTGGGCACACAACAACTTTGCCGACGACCAGGCGAACGCGGCGAGCTCCTCCGACCACTATGCTACCCAACAGCAGGGTCAGACAATGGACCTCAACCTCAACCTCTCACCACCGCATCCGTCAAATACATACCCGGCCGCCTAGCAGCTGGTGAATTACATACAACCGGGATACCCAACACCCGGTCTGCCATACCAGCAGCAGCCGATGATGTATCCCGCCCAGTATCCGTACCCGGTCCCACCTCCACCGTATGGGTATTGGCCAGGCCAACCGATGTGCTACACTTCCCCGGTTGGTTATCCACCATATACGCCCGCTTATACAGCTCCAGCCGCCGCCCCTCCAGTACAACCGACCGCACAAGTAGAGCCGCAGCGTCAGTCCGTGTCCCGGGCTCGACGCTCGGCTCATTCGCGGTTGGGGTCGGGGGGTGCTGATGCGATGGAGGCCCCAGCTCAGGCCGTTCAAGCGGAGGACCCTGA